TACTAAAAATCTATTTTACTTTTTTTTATGTGCTAGGACTCCTCCCTGATTTAATGCATTTTTGAACTATATGAAATATTTGACATGCCAAATGTACAGAAATGGTAGAAGTGTACAATGAGAAACACAGATTTCCAAATCAGCTTTGATATTGCATGAGGACTCTATCCTTCATACGATAATACACTCTGTATTCAAAGTACTCATTCTAATTTATGAATTCAGCCGACACGTGTTCAGTTGCACGCACATAGCCTGTATAATCTCCACAGAAAAGCATTGTTAATAGAATGAGACGCATGCACATGAGCCTCAGATCATAATGTCTAATACCAAGCATCAGCTAGAGGGGTCTAAAGCCCCCCATCATTGGGCTGTGGAGCAGCAGAACTGTGTTCTCTGTAGTGATGGAGCATCACTACAGTACCTGTGGGTTAAGCTGGAGTGGAGATCCAGAACTGAACACTAATGCTCCTGTGGTTGAATGCAGTCAAATCCTCACAGCAATGTTGCAACATCTGGTGTAAAGCCTTCTGAAGCATTATCAAGTTTAACTTGGAAATCCAGTGTTTTTCTAGCAGAGGATTTCACCAAGACAAGATCTCAGATTCAGAACTGGTAATACAGGCTATTTTGGTTGATATTATGTAATACTGTGCTTAGTTTGAGTGTATGACTGTATGGACTGAGGTGTGACTGGTATGTTCTGAAACTTTATCATTAACATACATTCAACATTTTTCTTTAGAAAAGTGAGAAAATGTACGTTTTGCCTGATATGGGTGCATGAAAAAATTGCTTATACATTCCAGGAAAAAACAAACAAAGACTCCAGTTTGGTATTTCAATTGTTTTCAAAGAGGTTTATTGAAAGAAATATTTGAAATTTTATAAAGTCAACCCCGTTATGATTCTATCACACAATCAAGACCTGTAGCTTAGCATTCTGGAGTGATCTGATATGGATTGAGAGACTGTATGAATGCCCTCCAGGACTGTCGGGCCAGAAATGTGTTATCATTTCATAAACTGTCATGCTAGCATTGTTACAGTAGTTTTCAGCTTCACAATGTCCATTCTTCCATCAGCTGGAAGTACATAAAATCACTCTCACAAGTGACCTGGAAGTACAGTGCATCTGTCTACACATTCTAAATTCAACAGCGGATCAGCTGCCTTTGAACCTCTGTCCTTTTCAGTGCAGCATGCAAATAAAGTGTGCACAAAGTCGTCTTAATATATAATCATTATTATTATTATTATTGTTATTAATATTAACAACATAGTTATTCACATATTTAGCATGTTTTGTTTTCTTTATAAAATCATACATATATTTTTCATCTACAGTTTTTCTGCATTTCGAAGCATGCCAAGGAAATGACAGATTCTGCATAGTGCTGGCTATATGAGTGCCAAGAATCGATTCCTTTACAAGACTCTCTTATGTACAGTACATGAGAGGGAAAAAAAGAGCAATCCAGTGTAAATGCATTGCCAAAATAAATTAAAACCAAGACTGAAGAATATCTACATACCTAAACAGCCACTGGAGATATCACTAGAAGTAGATATGTGAGGGGAAAAAAAATCGTATAATTTTTTACATCTTGGGATGGAGTGGGATCTGTAAAGTGCACAGCAGTACACTCAGCAAATAACAAGACGACGAGTATTATGAGTACAAACGAGAGGAGGCCAGAAGCATTGGGAGGTAAAATGGTTGCCACACATATGAAAGTTATGACGATATTATGGTGATAAACATTTTCTCATTATGAATGCATGAACAGAATTTTTGAATACTGTGTTCAAAGATATTATAGCATCATTAGCGTCTCTGATTATATATGGTGGAACCTCCGTTTATCTGCTGCAACTATTGTTGTATATAGAGTGACTGCACTACCTGGATAATAATTTGAAGGGCATACGACCATATCTTGTCAATAAAGCAAGCTATCTGAACTAAGTTTGTTCAATGTCTTATTCTACCATTGCGGTCTGGAAAAGCCATCCAAAATCAGACACTCAAAAACCATCCCGAACATGGCACACACCTCAAACTGCACTGTCGGGGAGAGAAACTGGGTGCTTTGGTTGTACTTCAAAGTGCCTGTCAGAAAACATAATCACAGCACGCTCTCCATTAGGTTGTTCTTTACATATCGTTGCTGTCGGAACAAAACCTCACATCTCCATTTTTCGTTTTTCATTTTTTCGCATAACTTGAACTTGCCAGCTGCTCTTTACAATGTGCTAAAATTTCATGATGAATGGACCAATAGAAATTGCCTAAAACTTCTTAGAAAAGCACGAATGTTACATTGTCTTACATTGTAAGTTGAGAATGTTTTTTCCTTCTCTTGTAAAGTCACCATCTTGGAGATACATGGCTTTGTTCCAACAGCGATGATAGGTATACCTGCCACATTAAACATATTCAACATATTCAGCTCCAACACCTTTCGCCTAATCTCTATCAGCTGCATCAGAAGCACATGGCCGCTTACCGTGGACAACAATTTCAATACAGAAAAGAAAAGAATAGCAAAGGCTCAAAATACAAATATACTTATAATAGAAGCCAATGGGCAGATACTGTTTTGATTTAACATGTTTTTACCTAGTTTAATCATGTCCAAATCCACCTGCTAACTAGGTCTTCCTCTGTCACACGATGAGGAGGGTGAAGTCTAATGCGCTTCCTCCGAAACACTTGAAGTGCCACTATATCTTTTTAATCTGCCTCTAATTAGATGCCTGTGTTGGCCAGCATCACTCTGATTGAAGGGGGGGGGGTGTGGGGGCAGGCCTATTCTCTGAGTGAGGAAGGAGAAAGAAGGCCATCCTACCCACCTAGAGAGAGTGAAGCCAATTATGCTATCTCGGACTCTCAGTCACAGATGGCTATGGCAACACTGGGGATTAAACTCGATCATAAGGAGAACAGATAGATGGCTGCACCATAGGTGCCCCTACTTTTCTGTTCTTTAAATGCGCAAGGAAATGTGTCAAAATTATTGTCTGTGGCAACTGACCAAATGCTACAGATGTGGCTGGAATATTCCTTTTAGACGAGTATTCAAAAAGAATCTCAGAGCGAGAATGCAAATCCAGGGTTCATTTTTAAGAATCAGTACCTACAAAGTGAGAAATGATCACAACCCCTGTGTTTGAAATGCTTCATGAATACTGTGCATGCTTCAGGAATACACAACTTTGCTGTTACTACACTATGATATAGGTATGGACATGAATGAATGGACGATCACTAAAAGCAGACAATAAAAACCATAACAGTAATAATGATAAGTCTGTGACAGACAAATACGTGCAACACTTTGTCACCAACAACTGTCATCCTGCACAATCGTAATAAACTAGAGGATATAAGACAACAGTCGGACAATTGTTGGTGGTAGCCAGCAACCTTCATTTCAGCTTCTTACCATTAGTAATGAAAATAAACTCTTTCAAAATTAAAGTAGTATTTGGTATCAACAAAATAGAATCAATTCACAACTGATATACAATATAAATAATAACTCAAACCAGTGGGAAATATGATACAATCAGCTGGAAATCCATACCCCTCACCACAGTGCCTTTGTTTGTCAGACAGTGTTACTCTATATGGACGCTCATCAGTGTTGAACTGGCACACACCACAGTAGTTCCCACAGCAAAATGTGCCGCTACCTGAAGAATCCAATGCAGTAATCTTCATCCTGATGGAGTCTGCCAAGCTTATTATTTTAGTTTTTAATGTGTTGTCCAGTGCATGTCAATTGCTGTAAATAATTTTCATTTTATATTCATTTCACTGCATCACACACACACATAGATATAGATAAATATGGGTAAAATAATTGTTTTCGTTTTCTGTAGTCTCATCCCAAAGAGAAATACATTAATGTGAGGTTGTGGCTTGTAGGGATAAGTATTGCTGAGGCCATGTCTGAGAAAGCAGGGCATCCCTAATAAATAGACCTGTTTAAAGCCAAATTCCAAAACTAATTCAAACTAGCACACACCTCTGAACACCGGCTGACATCACGCAGACTTTAACGCGGACGCTCTTATTTGGCTTGGTTTTGCATATTGTTCATTAACTCTGTCTTTACCAAGCCATGCAGTGTCAGTGCACAGAAGATTGATATGTTCAGTAATGACATGGCTTTAGAGACACCCCATCACGCTGTAATGCAAACCAACCAATCCAGCACACTGTTGAGCTCTGAAGCTCCGCCTTGACCTCAGACATCATGTGAACGTGAGGTGGAATGACAGGACAGTATAGACAGATTACACAACGTGTCTTTTTCTCTTTTTTCTGTTAGGCCAGCTAACACTAAAAAGTTCAACCATTTTTTTCTTGTTTTTCTTTCCTTTTTTGTTGTATCGGAAGCGCCGCGGACGTGATATAGATAAAGATTCTGAAAAAAAATTCAGTGCAAGACATAATGGCTACTTATATTATTATTTCCATTATTATTCATATATGGTAATCCAATACTGGATAACAGCAGTAAAGGGACAATTCTGAACACGAAGCCTGTCCTGTGAGAGGCCATTCTGCTTTTGTAACAAAAGCCAAAGAGAGTGGGCATTGTTCGGCACCCCTCCTCGCCCTCACTGCTCCTCGTGTCCATTTTAACATCAGTTTGGTAACGTTTCACCTGCCTCTTGAGGGCATTCTGGAACACCCTCATGGTGAACTCAGTGGTTTATGATGTCTTTTTAAGTCCTGTAGGGTTTCAGCAACAGTCCTTCTCTAGCGCAAGGTCTGCCATATGCGTGTGTGTCCTGTCTCGTCTCTCCATTCACATCCCTTTCTCAGTGCAAAAACGGGAACAGAGGGAAGAGACCCCCATGAGATGTGCAAGAAAGAAAAAGAGAGAGAGAGAGAGTGACTGAGAAAGTGAGAGAGAATCAGAGCAGGGGACTCTGCCCCCTATCTGCTGTTCCTCCTCCCCTCGCACTGTTGGTTTCTCCTCCTTCCTCCCTCCCTCGCTCCCTAGCTCCCGGGGTCAGAGCTGTGTCTCTGCGGAGTCCGTGAGTCCAGAGGGCTCTGCTGCTCCTGCAGGGAAAATCTCCGCTGGGTGTCGGAGTCTGGAGGCTGGGGATGGGGCCGCAGGCTAAGGCCCTGCAGCGGGACATCCCCTGGGCTGAGGAAGGGGGTCTCTGATGGAAGGAGCTCTGTCAGGCATTGGAGAGACTCACTAGACTTAGCTGGGAATTCCTCAAAGTTCTGCGGGTCCAGAATCTGGACAGAGAAGATGCAGAGAAATATTGGGAAATCTGTACAATGCAAAACTTTTATATCTTTCAAAAAATCATATTAAAGAATACATTTCTTTGACTGTCTTAACCATTGTCCAAAGATCAGCTACTCACTTTCATAACTACATATCTTACATAGTAGTTTTACAGTGGTTACTGAATATTTCCTAATAGTTACTAGATAATAGGCCTTATTAACTAATCTTGAAGATAATGTTGATTTTACGTTTGACACCTAAACATCGAGCCAGACCTTCTTTTTGATCTGGGCGTGTAATGTCAATACATATGTGTGTATGACGTGGTCTGAAAAACTCCTGTGAAATCTGAACCGGCACCTCTAACTTTTAAATTATTATTTCAGGTTTTACAGGTTGACTTGCAACAGCTCATGCACACCATATTTTAGCATGTTTTTTTCCTCCTGACTCAGTAATGCTACTTCCTTCGATTTTAACAAACATTTAACAAACTTTAATTAAGCTTACTGGCACTGTGTGACATACTATGAGCTATAAAAAAGATAAAAGTATAGAAGATTTTTAAAAATTCAGGTTACAAAAAGGCTGTTATCACATACCTCTGTTTATTCTTATAGACAACAGTATGTATACCACGCAAAAAAACACACAAGCAATTTGACATAATTTGAGGCAAATGTTATGATGTAGGCTTACACTGTACACAATACTAATTAGTGGGGTAAATTTCTATTACTAGTTAGCTACTTTAGCCTCATAGTCCTTGTGTTTAATGAAAGAAGCAAACTTAAGTCACCAAACATCTGCTGATTGTATTTTGAGTACGGGGAAAATCGTGTATTATTTTTTTTACTGAACTATCACTTTAATAACTTTTATAAAAAAATGGATTGAATGTAGGTCTACTTTGTAAAATGTACAGTACATTCTCATAATGGATGTCTTAAAAATAAAATGTGATGCTGTTATTTAAAAAAAAAATCCACCATGTATCCAGTTAAGGTCAATAAACTATCATTTTTAACACAACCAATGTGTTATTTAACACAGGCAGTGTGTTAAGATTTGTAACATAAAGAAGTGTTCCTATGACGCAGTCTGTGTCAGAAACCCTGTGTTCTTCTGGTCTACAGGTGCATTTAACACCATATAAATTGTGTTAAAATGTGGCAACACAAAACTATGCTGTACCATCATTTTTGACACTGAAGGTTTTTAGGTTGTAGTGTGCTTTAATGTACACTGTCATTCAAAAGTTTGGAATGAATATTTTCAGTAATATAAGTAATATAAGTAATATAATACATGTACACACATGTATAAAGTTAGAACAGGTTTTACATAATTAGTAAGAAGCTGTAAAAATGAAGTCATGCAGATGTCTGTACCTGTGAGAGTGAGGTGAGAGTTTCAGACTCTAGCGGTGTGACAGGCTGGATGAGTCTCTCCCCAGGTCCGGGGCTGGGGCCAGGGTACGGCGAGACCTGTGGGGGTGAGGACACCGTGCTGTAGGCTGGAGGTACCAGCGACATCTGCCTCTGCAGCAACTGCATTATTGCACCAATGTCTGTGGACATACGCGTCTCCAGTCTGGAAACACACACACACACAAAACAATTCCCTTCATGTTAAACTGTGTATGGAAAAATACAGAGAACAGGAAACTGTTAATTTCTGTTTATCAACTCTATGTCTCCATATCGCTGCTGTCGGAAAAAAATCTTGTATCTCCTTTTTTGTTGTTTTTCAGTTTTTGGCATGATTTGAAAATGCCTGTTGCTCTTCACACATTGTGTGTAAATTTCATAAAGAATGGACCAAAAGAAATGGCCCAAAATTACTTGGAAAAAGTCTATGGTCCAGTGGTTCCATTGACTTACATTAAAAAAGTAAAGGTTCTCCACACAATTAGAAAATAAAAATATGATTAATTGTGAGGTTTTCTGTGCTTGAACTATAGAAATAATGTTAATCTAAACTAGCTGTATGCTGAATAGGTGGAGAGGTATAAAAGCAATAATTTTCAAGAAATTACAAAAATGAAGCTGTTCTTGTGGCTGCATTTGCATTTATGAACTGTGTGGACTACAGAGTGAATACATGAGCAATGTATTTAAAACCTGAACAATGTTTACATAATGCTTCAAACTCTATTATATTCCCACCTGTTGAGTTGTTTCTGCAGCATGTCCAGTCTGTTCTCCAGCTGGCTCCGCTGCTGCTTGGAGATGCTATGTAAGGGTGTGTTGAGCTGTGGTGGCGGTGATGGAAGGTTGCAGCGGGGCAGCTCCTGGTACTGCCGCCCCCGACTCTCACCCCAAAAACTAAAGATGTTAGACACTCCTGAGAGAGCACCTGAGAGGAACAGAAGGCAAGAGATACAGCACAGTAAATATAAGAATGTGTGGAGAATGAAAGAACACCTGTACTTCACTACTGTACATCTACTAACCCCTGTAGCTCAGCCAGGACATTATTGTAATGTGAGAGTTTGTTATTCTACTGGTTTAACTTGAAGGCATGGTTCAGCCAAAGAGCTAATTCATACACTTTGCCCCAGTACATGTTTGCTGTCTGAAGTTTGTTTCTGTAGTTTTACACTGGGGCTATGAGGACAAGGCCCTAAAACACCAACCCAGCAAAGAAGAACCAGCACCAACAAAGGCCAAATGATCGCCTTCCGTCAGCTCACCATCACTTCTCACCTCCTGTGAAAATGTGCACTCAAACACATCTCAAAGGCTATAGCTAATAGCCGACACGCACATACTTAACATGTCTGTGCGAACTGGAGTAACTCTCTAGCAGTAAGTGCAGTAGTTCGTAAAACTGTAAAACTGCAACATTCAAAGTACATAACTACTGTTTGTAGGTCTTATATGCTTCAAATGTCAATGTTTAAGCTGGACCTTGTGTGTGAAAGCAAACGTAAGCAGGTGGGTAAAAAAGGCTACTTAAAAGTGAAATAAAATGTCTGGTCTCTACTCATCGCTGTTCTGGCCTATTGAGCATGGTAAATTGCTATTTTTGCTTGTTGAGTGTCTGATTTTTGTAAGAGAGCAGTTTTTGAATATTGAATTGCCAATAAGAAAAAAATGTAATATTGTTATGAATAAACATGAACACAAGAGCTCTAATAACACACTACTAACACAGGAGCTTCAGTTCAGCTTGTTCAAGCAATTGCTCAGTCTTTGAAAAACTGATCGTGTGTGCTCCTGCGTTGTTGGAATGAAAACCTGCAGCCACACCAGCCCTTTGTGGATAAGACTGGACACCCCTGTGTTACTGTGTTATGAAAGCACCTTCACAACTCTTGTTCGTGTTCATGTTTATTCATAACAACATTTAATCTTTTCTCACTGGTAATACAATATTCAAATACTGCTCTTTTACAAAACTCAGACACCCCAATAGCAAAAATGGTGAATCATCATGCTCAACCGGCCAAAACATTGATGATGAGAGCTGACTAGAGTGAATGGTGTGGGACACACCGCACAGACTATGGCCATCAGTTGGACAACAACAGCCTAACGGCATCCAACAACTGATAGTCCACTTAATGTGTCAGTGTCCTAATGGAGCTAATGGAAAAAAGAGAAGCTTATAGCTACAAATTAGCAAACCGCCTAAATCATCACATGAATGTCTCAAACAGCATCATACTTTGCTGTCTGTTTTTATAGATAACCATTTGGAACCATCAGAAACACTTAATGGTTTTTATGGGTTTTTCAGCAGCGTAAACAGATTGACTACTTCTGGGAAAAAGGAAAATTGTGTACATTTTATTTCTGGCCAAACCATCACTTTAAGCAGCCAATACACTTATCTAAGCACATGACACTTGATGAATTCCCAGATGGGTCTGACATAGCTCGACCTTTGCAACCCTGAAATTATGAATCTAAAAAGCCAATTTATTTGCTTCGCACATCCAGCCAGGGCTATGGCCTTGTCGTTCACGGCCCCTCTGCACTGATTACGGTGCTCTCTGGAGAGCAGAGAGGTCTATAAGGATGCCTGCCCCTCGTTTGTGGAGAACACAGGAGCAGACAGTGGAGGAATGAGGCGGGGAGCGTAGAGCAGAGAATGCAAATATCTGTCTGTGAAGAAGCAGTCTCAGAAGGAAGCAGGGAAAGATTGGTTTGGAGAGACAGTAGAGCTGACTTGTATGAGGCACTGACAAGTTTTTTTCCTGATCCCTTTCCTAGTATAATCCTGGAGTTAGAATATCTGTGAGGCGAGAACAGTCAGATGCGAGTAGCTTGGTAACCACGTAATGGAGATAAAATTACCAGCCCATTGTTATGAAACCAGTTATTATGAACTTGGTCAGAACTGTTGTTCAGAATTGCTCAGAATCATAGTGTTATTCGAGGTTGATGATGCATTATGTTATGTACTGTGATGGTATCTTAAGAAGAGGAAGAAGAAGAAGCAGCTGTAAGAGTCTGCTGATGTTGTGTTAAGGATACCTTTCCAAGTAGACAACACAGTACTTCAGTAAGTCGCTCTGCTAAATCCCTCAAAGCTGCATGTTAAAGTTAACGTTGTCTTACCTGATAGGGCGTTGCAAGTGTTGCCTGTTTTAGGATCCCCCTCCCCCTCAGGGTTGTCATTAAAGTTCACAGATGTGGCCTGGGCTTGAGAAAGCTCCAGTAGTGCAGTGGGTGGGCCTGGGCTTGTATGAAAAGGCTCCTCCCCTTCATCACCACTAGAGTGGGAGGAGATAGAACTCCGAGGCCCCTCCCAATCCGGTTTAAGTCCCTCATTCTGATTACTCGTAGCCTGTTTCCTGTTACGCCGCAAAGGTTTCTGGTTTTTCTTAATCTCGCCAGCATCTGCATCATCTGATACAGGACAAAGAAAATATTAGTTAACACTGAATCAAACTCAACACTATACAGCAATAACTTACACACAATATGTTAAATGTGCTGAAGTCAAATGCAAATATGCATACATGCATTGCTTTTTTATCCACTGCACTATCACTAACCACAACTGCAGTACTAAACAGATTTCCGGAGTCCAGTGAGCGATCAGAGAGAATGTGACAGTACCTTTTTCGGTTCGCCGCCTGAAGGACAGCTTTCTCTTGCGGAGTTTGTTGAAGCCAATACAGTCAGAGTCATCACTGCTTGGAGACCCAGGAATCATGTTAGTCTGCAGTGACAAGATAAATGCAGTTACAGTTACATTTCATCAAAATCAACAGCCACTGACAAAATTCACCAGGTAAAATGTATTTATCCAGACATCCTCAGATCCCTTTGTTTGGGCATGTCTATATGTCAATTTGTAGAGGATCGTGATCTCCAGAAAAGAACTCTGACTGTGCATGTTTATGCAGGGCCATTTCTAGACATAGGTGACATGGGCAGCTGCCTAGGCTACCATCAAGCAATTATCTTACTAAGGCACCTGTGTAAAATAACTAAATGCTATATTCATAGTGTTATAGTGACTTGTAGCATACTGAATTAAGTTTATATTTCTAAACAACAAACTTTTCACCCAGATTTAGATCACTTAAAGCTACACTATGTAAGATTTGGGGATTTGGAGATCTCTTCGGTGGAAATGTGTGATTGCATACAACGTGTGGAATTTTGTAATGATGGATAATGGATTAATCTGATGAATGCGAGTGCACTGAAAAAGTATTCAAAGAGAATTCAGTCAAAACTTGGTGAACAACCAAGTCTTCTGAGGATGTAAGGCTGCATTCGCAAGGATTTTTTGAAATCCATCAAAAAACACAGTTTACGGACACTTTACTGGTTTCATATTGCCGTGTTTGTGGGTGGACATTGATGTGAGCGGGAAACTCGGTAGCTAGTTTTAAGCAAACTGGTAGCTGTTGTACTGGACCTGTAGAGCTTGAATTTACACCTCTGGATGTGAGCTGACAGTAGTCATTCGTACCTCCTCGTACTGTCAGAGTATGCTCCTTCAAGCTCCTGTACCTATAGGCCATTAATACGTTGCTCTTGTTGAAATCAATGGTAAGATGTGTGGTTTTACTGTTTTTTTTGTAACACACAGTGCCCTTATGAACAAATGCATTACCTACTATTATAATAATATTTTTATTAGTATAATACTGACTTTGCATTTGAGACCTAAACATTTGAGATCATTCTTTTTGAGCCTGCGAGTGTGACATTAATACAGACAGACGTATGTCCATGACATGGTCTGGAAAATTTCCCTAAAATCATATTCGATGCCTCTGACAGAGCATGCACACCATATGTTAGTGTATTTTTCCCATGACTTAGAACTGCTACTTCTTTGAAGTTTAACAAAAAAAGAAAAAAGACGTGGTCACATGTTGGGTTGGAGATCCTTTAAATAGCATAGTATACTCACCTATCCAGACACCATTACACTACTGGGTAACAGTAATTTAAAACTGCTAGTTATGTAACCAAAAACACAATTTGAAAATGTCAGTATCTTAAAAATAATAATTTTCTTGTATAAACTCTCATGTGATACCCCCCTCTCAAACGCACAACATCCTTTGCAGCTCTGGACTTTCTTTGCATTTTTAGAATATACTAATCAAAAGGAAAACATATAATAAGTAATATTACATAACAAAGAACAGTGCAACTCAATAGTTTTAATAAACTATTTTACAAATTTGTACAAAAAGCTAAAACAAAAGAGGGTAAAATTTTGACTTGGGTGTTAAGGCCTCTACTGTAGGTACGTGTGATTTAAGGCAGTTTACGCTACATCTGTTGCCACGATAACACTGTCACAAACAAAAACTGTACTTTGTGAGAGGATTCTTTGATCCTGAGATAATATCAGTGATCATCATGCAACACTGGTCATCAGTGGGGAAATTAGTGCCTCTGTGATCAAAGTTCTGATGGTGTCAGACATTTTGGACCAAAACGTCAGAATGTGCCTGCTGCCATGACACTCTCTTTTTCAGAGAGTGAGAAAGAGTTAGGAGAATGTGGCTGTGGGTGAGTGCTACTCACATCTCTGAGGTTGAAGGTGATCTCTAGGTTGCTCCAGAAGTGGTCAGAGAACTCTGGATACATGTCCAGCACCTCCAGCAAGTCCTCTCTGTGGATCTTGTGCAGGTCGCAGTAGGTCAGTGCCCTTACGTCAGCATTGGACTTCCCCGGCCTGGCGTACAGATTGATGGGCTCACCAAATATATCATTCTTTCCTGTGGAAAACAAAGAAGAACATTCTCAAACCAGATGCATACATAAAGATATTAGGCCATTTCTATGTTGTTTTTCTTTTAAAGAAATAAAAGTATTTCTCCTGTTGTGAACTTGACTGATGTAAAATAAGAAGTGCAGTCTTGCCAACAGATGGCACTGTAGTAGACAAAATCACACACACATAGACACAAATCAATAAATAAGCACAGTATATCTTTCTACATAGCACTTTCTATTATCACATTTCCACACAGCTCCTAAATCTACTACACCTTAAAACCACAAACCCCAAAGAAAAAATATACAATGTCAGATAGATACAAATACAATAGTGATTTATTTCAGTACTAAAAGATTTCAAAGCAACTGTTCTGAAAAATACTGACACACCAATAAGAAATTTAAACTTATTTTATTTTTAATAGATGACAGTATGTCATACAGTATCAGAAAGCAGGTAGGCAAGTCTAAGTGAAATTAGTAAACTCCAAGTAGTTTCAGTAAATTTGAAGAACAATTTGGGGAAATATGTGCAAATTAGATTTTTAGCCAAAACACTGCTTTGAATTATACCAAAAATAGATAATGTACCCAAGATACTTTTGCTCAAAAAAGTTCTGGACTGTAAACAGAATTTACCTAAGATGGCCACCACCACGTCCCCTCGCAGTATCTCAATGGATCCACGGGAGATGAAGTAAAGGGCCGTGAGCACGTCACCTGCATGGACCAGAGTGTCGCCTGGTGGAGCGTGGGTGGTCTTGAATTTCATGGCCAGGGCACGCAGGCAGCCTTTGGTGCAGCCTTTAAAAGCTTTGCAGTTCTGGAGGAGTGTGCGATTCAGGTGCAGACAGATATCTGCCTGCAGACACTCAGGGAAACCTTTCAGCACCTGAGGAGAGAGAGAGAGAGAGAGAGAGAGAGAGAGAGAGAGAGAGAGAGAGAGAGAGAGAGACTGCATGTGAACACAGACGGGACAACAATGGACACTGCTTCTAGGTAAATTAGGTAAAACCTGCAGCCACTGACCATTTTCAATCCCAATATCCAGCCAACTAACAATGGTGCTAATTGACCATCGGTGAAAGACTAGTGGATGACTGACACAAACTGCACATAGAAAAAGATGAGCTATGCTTTCTAACTGTACCCCTACTTCAGGGGTGTCTAATGCCTTCCACAAAGGGCCAGTGTGGCTGTAGGTATGTGTGATCAGGTGAGATCCTGCTCATTTGGAATGAAAACCTGCAGCCACACTGGCCCTTTGTGGAAAAGACCGAAGACCATTGACCTACATGGTGTACCACCAAGGTAGCTGTCTAATAAAGAAAGTGTACGCAGTGTTAAACCATAGCAACTACATTGGTTTATGGTGGTTGCTTTTCATCGATGGGTGGGATGAGGGGGATGGTACATTGTGCAGCAACAGTCAGAAACTATAAACCTAAAAAAGTGCATTGATATGGTGCACATTTTTGATGGAATGGGTGGTGAATGTAGGTACAAGATAGGAGGACCTAATTAAGTGGAAAAAACTGGAAAAGTGTATTTAGAAAGAGTGCTTTTGTACACATGCTGCTTTACTGCTGATGGCTTGATAAAGTTCAGGCGAGAGACCTCTTCAGCAACCTACACCTCATTCTCAGATGATCAGTCAAAATCGGTCACGCTATCCTATTCCTGTCTAATGTCTCCCTCCTCATATAGCCCTCCTTCATCACAAAGTGTCTCTCTCCTTTCCTGGACATTAGCGTTTGCCATATTTCCTCATCACTTGCTAATGAGACACTGAATGAAGTGGGTGGAGTAGAGGACCCAATTTCAGCCAGAGCCATTCCAGTCATTAGAGCGCTCACTTTCCAGTACAAAACGCTCCACTGGTCCTTCACCACAACATAATGAGGAATATAATGAGTGAAGGTAACGGAGTGGAGCGGACACTGGATTTACCATTTGTTTTTCTTCTCCTTATGACTGTTATTAAACCACTCCATTTGGAAAAACTGTAACCACAGCTTTCAAATGAAATCCAGATCATTTTCTTTAATGCATGGGCTACTGAAAAACTGCTGTAACAAGTAGTTTTCTGGCAAAAAAGAAAACTTAGAGCACAAGCTATAAATATAGAGGAAAGTAATTCTAAGGTGAATTATTCATGTGATGGACTGACTGAATTCTTCAACTTTAAAATGTACGTAAAAACCAAGACACTGTTACATTAGCATGTGTTTTGTCAATGTCCTATCAAAACCTTGCATCTCTAACATGGGAACTTTAAAAGAGAAGGGAAAAAAGAGTCTTAACTTTAATAAACAATAATGTAACAAGATTTCTATTGGTCCATTCGTCATGAAATGTTCACATAATGTAAAAGACAGGGCTGCTGCCACTTTCAAATTGTGTAAAATAAATTTAAACAATGCAGTTAAAAGATTTTGATATGACAGTAAGAATTCATCTGCTTATCTTGCAGAACCAAAGGCTTAATAACACACATCTGTGAGTGACTTACAGCGTTCATGTCGATGCCGTTGGTGTAGGACCATGCGTGCTGGAAGTACTCCTCCAGTCTCTGTCTGAGCGGGTTGGGGATTTGATGGAAGCGAATGAACTCTCTCACGCGGAGCATCTGCGTGTGGTAGCGAGCCGTACCTGAGTACAGCCTCTGGATAATTGCTGACACATTCCCAAAGATGCTAGCATACATGAGGGCTGGAAAGAGAAACATAATGACTGTTAAGACCTTTTCACTGTATAGCTGAGCATATCATGATCATTTCATTCAATAACCTGAGTGACAATCACATTTTTAGTGATGTACTGGTTCCAATAGACCGGATCAGCATGGAAACTGACACTGACCTCATTAAATAGATCAGGTGTCATCTAGACATGACTGATCCACATTTGATTCTGTTTCTTAGTCACAGTTGTTATAAAACTGTAATTGAAGTGCATCATACAGTAGCATACTTTGTCATAAACTTAATTTATTTCTTGTCTTTTATAGTTAAACTGTGATGTGCAGTTACTGAAATCAAGGGTATTAATAGGGAGTTTGTTGCACAGTAACAGTTGCAGTAACAGACTCTACTCTTCTGGGAAGGCTTTACACTAGATGTTGGAACACTGTTGTGAGGATTTGATTGCATTCAGCCACAAGAGCATTAGTGAAGCCAGGTATTGATGTTGAATGATCAGTTCTGAGTCACAAAAGGCACTCCAAAAGCACTGGCTTGTGGTCTACGACTCCAGGGAACGCAGTTCCACTGCTCCACGGCCCAGTGCTGGGGGCCTTTATACTCAGCTAGCAGAAGCCTGGCACTGTGCATGGTGAGCTTAGGCTCATGTGCGACTGCTCCAGAGTGTCTCATTCTACTGACAATACTTCTGTGGAGATCACAGTCTCTCCCTGAATATAGATTTTAAAATGGCCTGAGTTCCTGAGTTCAGGTATTAGGAGAGAATAAGTGGGATCAGTATGTTCCTAATTTCTGTCTGTCAAATGCAAATATGTTGAGTAAACCTAATGGCTCAGGAGGCTTGTTATTTAAATTAGGTGCTTTAGTTAAAGTTGGTTGCAACAGGGACACTGAAAATATAAGCAAGTCTCTCTCATAATGAATGCAGCGCTTCACTTGTCAAATTATGTCCAAGTGTGAAAGTCTAAATAGCAGTCATGTTTTTAAGCCAAGAGATGAGAATCCTGTGCCTGAGGAAAAAGGCTACTGTGCAGTTCTATATATTTAAAATACTGAGCATATCTAAAGCCATGTAACCCTTAGTAATCTAGAGTTATTGCTGTCTTTTTGATAAACAATTTGTAATTACAAAATGAATTACTTACATAACTATTACATAATGAAATATACTTATATTGACTTGCATGCTTTAGTTATACATTATATATTGACTTTTTGCATTTATTTAGATTTTTCTTCCTTACACAAAACAATTTTTACATGAAAATGCAATAATAAAGCAATAAAGCACCATAGCAGCTACTCGAAGAAGTGGTCAAATGATGATGCTCTCTTGGTGCTGCAATGTTAGGAGAACGCACTACCAGTCAATACAAACATATTGATCTTTTTAAAGGAAAAAATATTCTGTGATAAGCAACATCAGCTAAACCTCTGTGATTATCAAATAATCTTTTAAGAATTTCAGACAGCTGGGAGTTAAACAATCTTCAGTTTTAGCATTACAATAGTTTCATCACATATTCCACTCCTTGGGATGTTTTACATATTAGGTTGACTGCATTTGGTTTACGAGATCAAGCTGATTCTCATCCTAAACTTAAGCCCTCTCATTAAAGTTCACTGAACAGCACCGACAGCAGATGTCCTGAGGTACTCTATGGCGGAAATTGCACTGCCGCAATGCAGGTGTGATAAATGTGGGAGTTAGCAGTAAGAGGATATTAGATTGCTTTGTTATTTATTAATTGTTCCTATCAAAGCTGACCAAAATGAACTAATAAATGTATTCATTAACAGGAACAAGAGGACACCCCATAGGCCCATTACAAAAATGAGCATTCTTGCAAATGACAGACTTGTATGTCATTTACTCTCCTACTGTGAGATACTATAATAATGATGCAGATGTCCTTGGTAAGCAGCATAGGTGCATGCACTTTAAGCAGACTGCACGCTACAAAATAAAAACAAGTAAGTAAACAAGTATGGACTCTTTTTTTGTGTACAGACGCCTCCTTTAAAAATGCAAAGAACAAATAAGAAACTTAGTTTATATAACGGACCAACCAAAGCAAAGGCTAGGGAATTGCCATATATTCATGGATTATGTAAGAATGTTCATTTGCTGTGACGTGGGCACCAGAATGGGTAATCAGAAGAGTCGGGACAATTCCCAGTGGGCCGGTTACCATGGGTTAACATCAGGCCCAGATCATCGAATGGGTTTTATGAGTGCATGCCCAGGGGTCTGAGCCACTAGGGAGCCCTGCGAGCAATGATGAGAAACTCTAAACAGCTGTTTTCACTCGGCGTGGGAATTTTACTATAGCGACACAGCGAACAAAATGCACTAAAAGCTAGTGATGTGAGCGACAACAGCAAGCCGCGCCATTTTTGATGGATGCCCCGTCGCTCTGCAATTCCACCTTAAAATGGATGAGAAGAAAGTCTGCCACGAAGTGGAGAAGAGAGGGATTTCCACAACCTTTCCAGTAAACAATCTAGAGTGAAACAGCCAGAGTGCTGGAAGTTAAGAGGCGGAAACCGTATTTTTTGATGTTAGCTAGATGACTAGTTACACTCTAAGAAAGAACAGTACTAAACTGTCACTGGGGTGGTACCCTTCATGTCACTGTGGTGGTACCTTCAAGGGTATGTCTTCAGTACCTTTATTTAAGGAACATGATTGTACCATATTCAATTACAATTATATATTTTTAAGTTGTATTGACTCTACCTACCCTTTCTTGTCTCAAGGCTTTTGGCCACATTGTTCTGTTTTAAAACATCAGGTTATGAAAAGGTACAAATATGTACATTTACAGAGAAACATTATTTAAGGTACACAGTTGGACCTTAAAACCACTGTTGTACCTTTGAGGGTACACTTAAACTGTATGTACCTTGGTGAATAAAAAAGGAACAGTACTTTTTTCTGACAGTGTAGGGTAGCTGAGTAAAGATAGTCCGTTAGCATAAGCATACGGGCACAGCAGTATAATGCTTTTTTAACTAGGTAATTTAGACTATTGATGTTAAATGTGGGGAATAAAATGTAACCCGTTACAAACTCTATTAAATACAAGCCACAAATCACAGCTGCACAGCTCTGTCAGTGAAGCAGCTCTCTTTTGAGAGGTCTGTGGTTTGTTTACATTTTGACGTTTGACGTTTCTGGTGTAGACAGCCTGCAGGCCTTCCAATGCAATGCAATACTACATTTGAACGCCAGTTTACTGTTAGGACACGGTGTGATTTTGTGTCAACACCGATCACAATCCTGATACTCTCTTCACCTTTACTCTCTTCACCTTTCCTAAATGTCTGTTTGTTTTTCTCCTCCAATCAATGCTTAGTAACCGGTATGTTATCCTTCATTATCTCATTCAAGCTTTCAGGTTTTTAGCTTTGAGCCAGCATCCCTGTGAATGTACCTTGCATATGAAGCTCCCACTATTCAAGGGATGTGCCTGAGGGATCTGTAAAAGTGAGACCCAAATCTTCAACAGAGTAGAAGATGCCCATTTCAAAAGCCAAATATAAAATGTCAACCATCTAATGTAAAACGTTGATTTGTCCTTGCTGGCAATGATCTGCATCATCAGAGGTAAGATATAAATGGAAACAAACAAACATTTCCACGTCTGCCACGGCTGTATGCTTTAGCTAGGCTGCTTGACAGTTCCAGTTTTAAGTTTGCTGCCTTTTTCCATCTTTATGCACATCTCAGCTGTCCAATTGTAGTTAATGTCATCTTTACTGGGATTAATATTTTGCATGTCAGAAAAACGGATGTATTCTTTATAGCAGAGGGTGTCAAACTCAACCACTAAAAGGGCCATAGCAAAAAATCTCAACAGCGATGGGGCCAGAGAACGCCTATGTTTTTAATGTAACCTTAAAAAACAATTTGCTATAATCTGAGCTGGCTGTTGTTTATTTAAAATACGCCAAAACATCATCAGCAAAATACAAGCACTTGTGGAAGACCTTGAAAAATATATACATAGTATGCTACCATCAAGGTGCTGCATAGTCCTTCTTTAACTTGCTATGATTTAATAACAAAATCAATGAACACCCAAAAAGGTAGCTAGGTAGGGGCCTGCCAAACATTTGTGCCCAGGTGCCTATAATTTGACAATCCAGGCCTGGTTTACATATATAAACCCACACACATAAACACAAGAATTTAAAGACAATCGATTAGTCTGCTACTTTCAACAATACTTACTAAGGAGGTAGTTTTCATACAAGAATCAAATGAACATGGACAAAAATGGCAACAAGCAAAAAAAACAAGGTGGCATAGAGAAGGCAAGAAAAAAGCACCAGAGGAGGATGCAGTAAAATGCATTAAAAATGGGATATATTTGAGTGGGTGAGCATTGACAAATGCTTACAGGAACTTAATTAGTTAGCATTAGATTAATTAGTTTAGAAGTTAATTATATTAAGTGTTGTGATTACAATAAAAATCTATTTTATTTAAGATTTTTCCAGTTCTGCAGTTTTCATTTTAGCACCAGCTGGACAGGTTGCCCATCTCATTATGGCAAATAAATGTCATTAAACATTTTTTGGAAAGAAATTCATGTGTGTGGCAGAGAAAACTGAGTGAGAGTTTAGGATTGGCTGGTCTGCATCACATAACTCCTGGTGTAAAACCCCGTTCCAGCCCTGAGTGAACAGACCACAGTGTACCAGGTCAGGTTTTAAGTTTGCTTTTGGTGTACATTTGAAAACAAATTGTACCATCATGGTTGAAGATTATGGTCACTGTGGTCAAAATGTATGTTCCTGTATGCTGTGTCTAAAGTATTTGAGTTCATATCAGTGATACTCACATCCAATAAGCATGACGCAGATGGAGAAAATCTTCTCCGAGTTGGTGTTGGGGGATACATTGCCGAATCCCACACTGGTCAAGCTGCTGAAGGTGAAATAGAGGGCTGTCACATACTTGTCCTTGATGGTGGGCCCTGAGCCAGGGGCTGAGTCATTGTATGGTTTCCCAAGCTGATCCCCCAGCGCGTGGAGCCAACCAATGTCACCACTGCGTTCTACGTTGCCAATGGCATACCAAATGCAGGCCAGCCAATGGGCGATGAGGGCGAAGGTGCACATGAGGAGGAAGAGCACAGCAGCTCCATATTCCGAATAGCGATCCAGCTTCCTCGCCACCCGCACCAGGCGCAGGAGGCGTGCCGTCTTGAGGAGGCCGATCAGAGTGGTTGTCTTGAAAGAGGAGAAGACAGAGAAATCCAAACTGAATAAAATACTCATGAGTAGATCAAAGGAGCCCAGTTTACGACAAACAACTATGAAACTGATTCAGGCCTTCATAGACTTCGCCAAGGTAATGGCAGTGATGTACATGAAAAAGTAGACTAGTTTATCATTCGAGATCATAATTTAATATTCAAACTGAAAATGTAATCATTACTACATGTGTTGTTAGAAATGTGTTCTTTCTTATGCTAATGCAGAAAGAAGCCAAGCGGCTAGTGTTACTGCTGGAAAGCTGAATATCACATCTGTATTTATTAGCCTCTACTAGTGGCTGCCAGCTGTTTTAATTTCTTTATTTCTGTGGGAGCATTTCCAGAGGTAGCATGATATGATGAGCATTTAAACATTCAAATGGTTCTTTGAGTTCTATATACAAACAATACCTTTACTAAAGAAACTATGAAGAACACCCTTTTTAAGGGTGTAGTTTAAGCCGGATTGCCTTTAAGTGCACATGTTGCTTAACTCTGTCATTGCAGCCCATCAACTGTTCCTGTAATTGGCACAGAAAATTAAGATGCACCATATCATTAAAACTCTTAAGCTCTCACAGCTTGCTCTGATCTGACCGTAATTTCTGATTCTATTATTATGATTAAAGCCCAATCTGGATGCTTCTTGTTTGGACTTTGGAAGCTGCTGTAGTCACGTAGTCATGTTTTTCCCAGATATCAGCACTGTCATTATGTGTTAGGAGTTGATTTTGATCTACGCTTTCGTTCATGGTAAATGTGTTTTATTGATGTGAAGACTGAGTAGTTTGGAGTTAAATATAATTTATTTCCATGCTCAATAGACTTTTACAATAAGGGTTTAGGTAGAGCTGCTAGTCTTATTTTACACCTGCTACTACAATGGCCCACTTTTCTTCATAATAGCCTAAACACCTACTAACTGCTAACCACTAACTGCCTATTATGTTCACACACAGACATACTGTAGTACACTGTCGGCAAGAGAATGGAAATAAATTAATTAAATCACTTCAGGAAGATGACGCTGAGAAAGAGTAGAGGAATAGAGAGCTTTGCCCTGCATAGCTAGGGTGTGTTGGGCGATGCACTAGGAGTCATAAATAGTCTCTCTGTTTCTTCCTGAGCTGACAGAGAGCTGTGTTCATTCCTAGCGATTACACTCATCTCACGAAGGCCACTACATCAATAAAACAAATAAATAACAAAGTGATTAGACCTCTGGCATGTAGCCTTGTTCCACCCCTCAGGGCATGAATGAGTGGAGTGTTGGAGTTGAAATTCCTCCCTCACAGCTGACTAGACTATTTAAGCACAAAGATAAAAAAGAACAAATCTTCCATTATTGGTTCTACTGTTTCCAGTCATAGTCTAACAGGCTACTATCTGTACAGGACATGGTTTTATTGCTAATAACGTTTTTTGCCCATGCTTATCATAAACAAACAATTGTGCCTTTAAAAAGTTAATGCAACAAGTCCAAGCCATTTTGGACCATTTCTATTGGTCAATCCATCATGTAATCTTGAGACAATACAAAGGGATACTCTGTAATTCAAATTATGCAAAAAAAAGTAAAAAATGACAAAAATGGAGATTCAAGGTTTTTGTGCAAATTGGCATCATAAAAGAATTTAAATTGCTTCTATTGATGCAAAGTGAGAAAACATGCCAAAATGTGAAATAAAGTGAAATTAAATTTATACAGTTTTCCCCTAACCTCAGCCAAGTCAGTCAAGGCACAGAGCCACAAGGCTAATGTACCTAACAAGCAGGAGTGAAAAGAGTACTGAAAATGCCTTTGTAAGTACTGTTACCGTGTGATAATTTGCTTACGTACAAGTTAAAGTATTAGTAATAAAAATTACTCAAGTAAGAGTAAAAAAGTTACACTGGCCAATGACTTGAATAATGGTTACTTTTTTGTATATCTGCAAAAACAACCTGAAAAAGTTGACTTGGCTACTCAATAGAAATAATCTATACAGACGAAACATGACATTATCTAAACATCTCACACAGGTAAACACAAAGGAAGTGAGAGAGAAAGACACAGAGAGAGAGTTAGACAGACTTCTGTGATGAACTGACCGAATAAAGTCTCTAATGAACTTTTGTCTGTAAGGTGAGATGGAAGAGTAAACGTATCTTTTGTAAATGCATTTTAAGGTAAGTGAAAGTCTAAACGTGGTAACTGTACAGTTTTTCTACAATTAGACCGAACGTTGATCTGAATGTTGCAGCACAACCTTTTTAGTTTTGTTTGAGCGAAGCCCTGATTTCTCTGATAGCTCTTTATTAATGTGAGGTGAGCTCTGATTGGTCTGTGTACAGCATGCATGTGACAAATGAACTTCATACTCCACCCTCAGTCGGATCAGATTAGGCCAGTAAGCTTTAAAAACCAAAGCGCAACAACATTCTTCTTCATAGTTTGAGGGGAACCTGTATCATACTAGATTTCCCATATCACAGTCACATATGGCCATTTATCTCCTAAATGGCGACAAAACCATGTTTTAAATGGGTAAACCATAGGCTATGGGTTGACACCAGTTAATTAAAGTACCCAGCTGACAGGCACTTGTTATGAAATTTACACAACATTGAGTTTAATAAATAGATACTTATGTAGAAACACATAAAAATAAGAAGAACATAGTAAACAATAACTGGGCAGCTGCTTCAAATTAGCTCACATCAGCAGCACCAAGCATACTGAAGCCTGAATTTTGTCTGCACCTTTTTCTAGTTTTATAGATAACAGTATGTCTTAGAGTATCAGACACCACAGGCACTTTGCACAGTGCTAATTGGTGGGTTTTAAGCTTCACTTATTAGCTTCATTAACCTCATACCAGCAATGCTAAAATAAAGAAGGAAACTTTGGACACCAAACTTTGGCTGGTCAAGTACATTTGGGTTAAGAGGAATATTGTGTATATCTTTCTTTTTCATCACTTTAAAGCAGCAGCAATATCCCATGATTCTCCTGGCCTTGACCTTGGCACTCACCTCCTCGCCATTGCGGTAGATGAGTAAGTCAAAGGGGATGGCAGCCACCATGTCAATGAGGAACCAGCCTTTGAAGTAGTGCACAGCAATGCGCAGCGGGTGGCTCACCACCTCGTCGTTGGCATTGACGTAGGTGGTGCGGAAGTTGATGAGGATGTCGATGATGAACATGATGTCCACGATGAGGTCAACCACACTGAGCGGGCTGCAGTAACCACAGCTTGACACTGAGATCTCTTCCTCGTCGTTCAGTAGGAAGGCGGCCGAGTAGGGCGTGAGGATGGCCGTGTAGATGACCAGCAGAAGGATCAACCAGTCCCACACAGCTTTGAAAGGGCTATAGTGCAGCACAGTCCATTTGTGGATGCGGGGGGCCTGGAGCTTATATTCAGGGAGGACATCAGCGCCTAACGACAACACCTGGACAGAGAAAGAAGAGAAGAATGTTACTTTTGAGATCACAGGGGTTTCTAAAGTAAAGTGCCCAACATCATTCCAAAATGATTCTAGTTGTCTTGGAAAGCCATCTACAAAGAAGTGAAGATACTACAATGTTGGCCTTGGGCCCTCACATGGGGAACCCACAAAGACTGTCAGCTGGTAATTTCCTTCATAAAATCAACCTCCTCAATAAAATGAGTCACACAGACTAAATTATGCAAATTACAACACCACATAATGGGCATCTTTTGCACCTTTATTTTGGTGTGTGCCTAATGTCAACACCTGAAGAGATGGAGAAAAGAACAGTTTGTTACTTTACATTTGAAAATACAGGGATTTATGAGGAAGCTCTCCATGGCCTGGTGCTCAACATCATTCCAAAATAATTACAGCTGTCTTGGCCCTCTATTTACATTAGTTGTTAGTCATGCCTTCATAAATTCATAAAACAGCATCCCAACAGCAGAATTCATACAGACTAAAATAGGGTTGTGCAATATCTTGTTTGTTAAGCATTATCATGATATTGGAATATTGTGGGTCTAAACATATCACATCAAATCCCATCAAGGGTTCAACAACATGTTTTCATAAGTGGTGTCAAAATTAACATATTTTGAACATGTTAATGCAATGAATTATTAATGCCATTAAGTTTTTTTAACATTGTTATTGCATTTTTGTAGTTTGACCCTTAGGACTATGTGTCCACCCTGAAGGTCAACTGCTTGTGCACTGTATGTTGCTGTGACTCCATGACTATAGTATTCTTATTCAAATACAGCTGTTAAATAGCAAATGTAATAACAAGACACAGAAGCTCTCTTCTTCAAACCAAAGTTATTTCCAGCTACTGCACTGTCATTTGTTTATCGTAAGTAAGCAAAAGGCACCACTAATGTCAGAAATGCCAGTAATATCAATAATGTTAGCACTGGAGGACACTTTTGGGAGACTATGCGGGACAGTGATCATTGGAGACCTAACTAACTATCAACAGGAAAGTGGAAAGCTCCAGATCCCCTCAGGGGCCTCCACTATAACAAGAACCCATGAACTGTTCTAACAAGAACAAGAGCTAGAAGCTACAATCACTGAGGAGTTGGAAGTAGTCAAAGACGCTATATTTCAATGTAAGTTAATGTAAAGAATTTTATCATTAAAATGGTATTTTGTCAATATTGTGCAGCCCTTGTTTGAAATATACAGTGCTGATGGAGTATATATAATCTATTGGTTGGCACTTAACAACAACATTTGAAGAGATGTACTGTACTTTTAAGATCACTTTTGATGTTGGAAGGTCTCCAAGGCAAGGTGCCCAACATCATTCCAACATAATTAAAAGTGTCAGGGAAATCCATCTACACTAGTCTTTAAAGGAACTATACGCATGGTCTTCTTACTTAAAGTTTTTAAGTGCTAATTTCCTTTATAGTCCTCCTGATACCACAACTCACACAGTCTGAAATATACACAGCGCCAGGGTTTATTTTGCACACTCTATTGGCCTAAATTTGCCTGAGGACCAAATAGTCTTGCAGTCGCCCGACATCGTTATCGTCAGCCGCAGATGACTGAATGCAGTCTCATTTCTATCCCCTGATCTCTCCAGCTTCTCAGCAATGCTGTTATATTCATCATATTTTGAATGCAAGATGATTTCGCTCAAACTGTCAGATAAGTGTCTGAGCTTTTATAGCAGATTATGACTCAGGAAGATCATGTAGTATCTGTGACAATCCCGAATGGAAATTAACATTACAAAGAAAAAAGAGATTAGCATGAGTTGGTGTAAATGTATTCCGACACACATGCGCTCACAATTCTCATCACCAACCTCCTGAATGTGCTCAGTATGATCGTATTTAAAAAGTCTGACCATGCCGTGGGCAATATAACAGACAAAAGGAAATAGCCTTGCGAAGCCAAAGTTTGTTGATGTTCTGTCTCTTTCTCTGGTGGCCTTATATAAAGTAATGTCTCCGTTTTGGGCACAGAGCCCAAGAAGGCAACAGACTGACTGTTTTTTATTCCATCTGCACAAGCATATCGCTTTACTGTACATAAATACCCTCAGCTATGCGCATGCATAAATAAAGACATTTTCACTCCCTGATATGCACACATGCACATTTAAATGTGTTTGTACAAATATAGTATGGTGCAAGAGTCAGAGACCAACCTTTATTTATTTAATTTCCAATCAAAAAGGCCACTGATTACAAGATATTCATTTTTCATAAGATATTTCTGAGGAAACATAAGATCTGCCCTTGCATATAGAAGAGGAAAATCAAAGCAAAAAATCATCTCCATCAGATAAACAGCACTTCAAGCTTGCATCATTGAGAGAGAGGAGAAAATCAAGCTTCACTCTTGCTTCAGATCTGAAAAACTCCACAGGTGTTTCTGTCCATCCTTTCACTGTGAGAGGACAACTCAGCACTATGAATCTGAAAGGATCTGTAGCTGTCAAGAAGGTGTTACTGAGAAAAGAACATAGACCAAAAAGAACAAAAGGTGCAAATCAAACAAAGAAGCTGCTGGGATTATTTGGATCATGAGAAGCAGAAACTTCCAAGACTGAACTTTGGAGGTGTGGAAAAATATCCCTGCAGATTTCTTTGAAAAACTGAACGTCTGACTGAGAAGAATGGAAGCTGTTATAAAGCAATAAGTAGTTGTTGAGACAATTTTCTGTTACATATATGTTTTCAGATTTCTGGTATTGAAAAGTCATTTACTTGTTTACTTGCCATTTTAACTGTAAATAAAGTTAATAAATCATGGTTTCTGACTTTTTCACAGTACTGTATATGCAAACATAATTTGACACACATTTTCCCTACTAAAATCAAGCGATGTTAACAGACTGGAGGAATGCCAACTGCTTACTGTCAGGACAACTTTAAGAACACTGAACACATGCAAAGAGACTTTTAGATTAAAAAAAAATAACCACATCTGCTGTTTCTCTTCAGATACGATTCAGTGCACAGGCCTTAGGTTTGTTGTTAATGTCTGCAAATAATGAGTGAATTCAAATATTATCCAATTTCGCATGAACAAACATTGGACACAAACATCCCAATTAATTAGTGCCCATAGGACTGCCTGGTTAAAACAACAGTTTACAAAACAACAAATAAATAAATAAATAAACAAACAGACAATTATGGAAGAATAAAAAGGCCATTAAATTATAAACACAAATCTTAAACATACATAGTATGGAGCATTTACCTCTGCCTTTATAAATGTACTATTCAAATTTAGACTGTTTACTCAGATTTCTAAATCCAAAATTAATTAGGCTATTTCAGATATAGCAAAGCTAATAAAATCAAGGTACATTACACTACTAATATCAGAGGTTCAGCAGCTTAAGCTTTTTTGTGGTACTAAGGTGCTGCAACCAACTGTATGCAATAGCTATCTAAATTGCAGTTTTTAACAGTGACAACAAAATTGTGTCAAACTTTTATATAAATAATTTCTCACTTATAGCTCACTGAAGTAATCAAGGACATTCTGTTAGCAGTACAGTTTCTGAACTTTTAATTAATACCACTTTCCTCAGTCAAAGAGGAGATATTGTATTATGATTTAAATAAAAAACCCTGTTTTTGAATGTACAGTCTTATTCACAGAAGAAAAAAACATCCTTTATGTTTTACCATGTTTTTTGTCATTTGTTGAAATTGAAACAAAAACAAGTTCAGACTTACTCTCAAAACCTTTTAATAGTGGATGCAAACTGAATGTAAATGTAGTTAATTTCATAACTATGCAATTATTTATTCATGCAAGTAACATATACTTACATAATGTAACTCAAATCTATATCAAAGTGACAGTAAGAAGGGTTAATGAGCTATTGGCTCAGTAATGTGCATTCTAAGAATGCCTGGAGGGGGCTGCTTCAGGAATAGAGGCTGGCAGAAAGAGATGGAAAGGCGAGCAGAGTTACCCAGCTGAGGCTGCAGCTCCAGATGCTGCTCACTACTAGGGCTGTATTCTCTAATAAAACAAGCCAAGAAAGATTCTGTCGCTCAGCTAATTGCAGTTTTTTCTTTCTTTGTTCATTTATATATCTACTTCTATTTTTGAACACTAGTAAGTTTCTGAAAATGGAAAGACCTAGCAGCTAGTGAGTCTCTGTGTAAGTTTAAGGGTTGCTCTTTTTTAATGAACATATTGATCACATGCATTAGTCATGCAACACGCCAGGTACTGAGGATGTAAGTGGGATGCAAGACAGAAAAATGGGGCACCATTATTAGAAAAATGAGGTGAACACTTGTAAACAAACAGTGGAGGAGATGAAAAATGAAGCTACACAGCTGCTTTCATCTCTGCTGTGCTGACACAGCTGATTAAGGCGGTTCTCTGACACTGCTGAAGGCGCATCAAGATGCTTTAGCATTAACATTATAAATGTTATGTGGTCATATGCATCCCTGACCAAGTCCAAAAGTGGTTTGAGTGATCAGATCTTGATGTGTTTTCCAAGACGCATCGGACTCTGTTTACACATGTACTTAGAACTGTCCATTGATCCAATGATCAGATCACCCAGAACACATGTTAATGCCAAGTATGAATAGTGCCTTGCTCTCAGCATTGAGGTTCACTCTTAACACTGTAGCTCATACTCAGCACTCCAACTCACTCTCAGCACTGCAGCTCACTCTCAGCACTGCAGCTCACTTGTAGCACTGCAACTCAATCTTATTACTCCTTTTCACTCTCAGTACTGCAGCTCACTTGTAACCCTGCAATTCACTCTAATTACTCCATTTCACTCTTAGCACTGCAGCTCACTCTCAGCACTACAGCTCACTCTCAGCACTGCAGTTCACGTGTAACCCTGCAATTCACTCTTATTACTCCCTTTTACTCTTAGCGCTGCAGCTCACTCTCAGCACTGCAGCTCAGTCTCAGTATTGGATATAACTTCAAATCACTCTCAG